TTAAAAATCCTACTGTGCCAATAATGTAGTTCGTCGCTGTGTATATGTATGTATATTTTACAAAGGATAATGATTGCGAATGAATGACCATTGTGAATGAATTAATGCTATCTCTTAAGCATTCGCATACTCACGCGCTCTTGACTTGACATCAAGGATTCACCAATGACCAACAGATTGACAATATTCGATGACGATTCGGAGCTCAAGAAGTCACGCAACTTCCACTGCGACGAGCTGGAAATAACGACCACTCGACTGTCCGTCTGGGGGCCTAAAATCTTGCGCGCCATCACTGGCTCGGATAGGAACAGAATATAGCTCTTGCAGTTGGTATCGATGTGATTCATGAAGTTGGGATTCCTCGGCTCGAAGTTGTCCTTGATGCTGCCATGATAAAACGTCACTGGCATGGTCTGCAAATAGACCATGTGTAAGGACAGTCAGGGCTATAAGTAGAATATGCAATCTTAATACTCACCTTGAACAGTTTATCCAAGAGGTGCCCATTCGTCCTGGTCACCGTGCTGTCGTAGTAGATGGTCGGCGGGCATTTGACCAAATACTCTTTGGCTATTTTGGTGACGAGCTCCACCAGCGAATTGGTCTGCTCCAAGCTGTATGATGGTAGAAATTTGTTGGCCAAGAGCTCGGCGCGCGGCTTCGGCTTACCATGAAATGTCGCATCCACACGACGCCTGAAACGCGCCCCATCGCAGCTCGCAAAGAGCTGGGGGCTCAAACGATGTCGCTCGATCAGACTAGACCTGATACACTGCCGGCGGGACTCCTTAGACGCGCCTTGGCTGACAGCTAGCAGCCCCAGCAGACACGTACTCCACAACAACATGCTGCTAATGTTGGGGCTGTCCTAGGTGGTGCCACCCTTTTATACGGCAGCCCGTACTTATTCCGGCACGCGAGAGGTCGCCACCAAAGCGAATTATATGCATTTCTGATTTGATTGCAGGTGTGACACCTGCCATCAGGAGCTTCCCAGCTGTCGTTGCTGTCGTTGGTTATTAATATATCAAATCTGATTTCTGCTGGCTCGTTAGTTGTTTTCACTTTCGTGCCACACTTGTATCGCTTCTTGCCTTTGTACACCACCCATATGCCACCCATCCCTAAAGATAACGCTCGAACTGTGATGATATATATATGATATGATATTTTTGCCCGAACGTATGTAACAGTCGAAGCGACAGCAGAAAACATCTCAAGTTGCCATAAAGTCGACTAACTTCACTTCAGTTATTAAATAATATATTGCCTATACTTCGAGCTGTAGTTACAAAACTTTACGTTTAACTATTTGTTTACTAAATTCAATCTCTGAAACCTTATATTCAGCTGCGAATATAGTGAACATTTGAAATACCTTTTCGTTTTCGGGATCTTGCACATACTCAATAGAACATTGCGTTCACTCAATAAAAGTTGATTCATTTATTATGTTACTTCAGATGTAACATACATTTTTTGGAACAACAGCTTTATAGGGTATCTCATAGTCGAGCACTGCCTCGCTATCTCACTGCAAATGGTTTTCTTTTTAATAACAATTGGTACATTTTGTGCATGAATGGGCAAGCGTAGTACGCAACAAAAATAACTGTAATAAATTAATTGGAATACCAATTAAACTGTCACGAGAATAGAGAAAGAAAGAAGCCCCTATATCTTATCGTATTATATAGGGGTAACTAATTGCGTTAAGCGCACATTAATGGACGTTAAGTACTCGATTGAGTAAAGTGTTGCAAAATCTTAAGTTTCCTACGGACGCAATTGTGTGCCATCGATTGATGTTCGGAGCTCGTATCAAATTAGCTTATACAATAAGAGATCATTTACCGCCTCTATGTGTGCACTAGGTTTTCTGAAGATAACCCAGAGCTTCTAAAGTTACAGCTGCCATATTTGATATAAGGGCTATACTTAAGAATGCGTCCTAAATATTATTATATATTGCTCAATTCAGAACTACATTACGCCGAGAGACTTAGAGGTTCAATATTCAAAATACATACATATGTATATACATATATGCAACTACATGCAACTGGACGTCTCTATATAGCCAAAAAATTTCATAAATATCGGCTAATAAAATCCCAAGTTATTAGAGAACGGATGTGTCGTAAAATTGGACTGTAGGTTCCATGTATGCGTAACTCAATACATATATTGTGGGCTTGCTATGAGAACTTAATTGTTTAATAACTTTTCTTGTGAATATACGATCTTCATGAAACTTCCAGATTATGATTATAATATGGATATGCATGTATTTGCCAAAGCACAAGTCTCTACTGTTTGAAATACGCCTTTTACAAATAAGAGGGAGTGAATTAAGGGTGGGGGGTAAATTTCAACAAAAATAGAAATTGTATAAAATGCATATATGTAAGTATACATTTAAAATTTGGAGACTCTAGCAATAAAGGTATAGGAGATATAAATTTATTACTGATTTTCGATAATGTTTTTAATCGATAACAAAATAACGGGGCAAGTTATCGATATTTAAAGCAAAACTCGATATGCGCGTGCTATACACGGACCTAGGAAACAAAATTTTAAGTCTCTAGCTCTTATATCTTCTGAGATCGACGCGTTCAAACATATGGACAGACAGACAGACGGACAGGGTCAAATCGACTCAGCTCGTCGCCCTGATCAAGAATATATATACTTTGTGGG